AAATGTAAGAGCTTACGCAAAATTGTTGGTAGTCGATGACACGCAAGGGCTGTTAATTACGGGTGTCATGGAAAGGTTAGGAGGTAATAATAATAAAGTTATGTAATTTTATGGAGACGAACAGTCAACCCACGGATCGTCATAATATACTTAATTACGTGATAAATTATCGTGACAATATACCGTTAGATTACGTCATCTATTGCTGGCACTAATAGAACTAATAGATCGGCCTAAACTATGTTCTCATTCTTACCCTAACTTCGACCAAATTCCTATCAAGATATGATTATCCTGGGTTAACTGTTCTTTAAGATACCCAATTTCATTCCCTTTTAATTATAATTACAAATTTAACATTCAGGTTATGGCATTGTTCTTGGTGTACACGATGGTGAACATCACAATTATGACATTGTAAGGTATATGAATTTTTCGAAGAAGGTTAATGATTCGTTAATGGTATTATCTTGGCAACAAATTTTTAAAGAAGAATGTCAAGGTAGATTAGTAATTAGTTATCATATTTAAGCAATTCAAATATTTTAATTCACATTAATCATAAAAAATTTTTATGCTTGCAGCAACATTCAATTACCAAGACGAGTCTAAACTGTCTCAAAAGGACCTTAAATTTTATCTCCGTAAAAAGGCAAATTATGAAAAAGTGCAGGAAGCAAGAAAAATTTTATGGCAAGGTGGATTTGATGGGTATGATAAACTTTTTTTTCTTTTTTGAACATTTGATTATTTGATCTAAATATATATTTAGCATGCATACATGGTCTTTGAATGCTATTATAAATATAGATTATTAGTTGCAAGTCAATATCAGCCAGAATCAATCCTGGATACACTAGTCCCTTATTTGGCTGGATCAAGACCAATTATAATTTACCATATTAACAGAGAGGTATCAAATAAAGTTTTTTAGATATTAATGTAATCATTTTTATTTAAGGCAAATTTACATACACAAAATTTTTTACAAAGGTATTAGTGAATACTTGTGTTCACATGCGAATATCTGGAAAATTTCTAAATCCACAAATAACAGAGAGCTGGTTACGACAGTACCAGGTATTAACTCCAACCAGGATTTAATACCAATATTCTGCGAGAAACCGGTAGAACCGGATTTTGTTATGCTATTTCATATTATGAAATATCATTTTTCATTTTCATATACTTACAATTTCCATATTATCTTACTTGTTTGGTAGGTTCTACCCGGTCGAACTCATCCATCAATGTCAACGAGCGGGGGTGGTGGTTACCTTTTACAAACAATCTACACTAGTACGGTCACATAAAATACGTAAGTGTTGAGTCTTGGCTCAATTTTTTTTTCTGCCGTCCGCTATTCTAATTGCACAATTTCTTTTAGGTGTTACGGTTTTCGCGTATCTATAGGAGGTATCGAAACCGTGATGTATGCAGACTTTATTAGCTCCTATAAGATAGATTGGATTATCTCCTATAAATACAGTAGGCTGATGTTATTTGTTTAGAGCTTGTGGTTGTACACGATCATATTGTTCTCTTTTGGAAAAGCCAAGAGCAAAGTGCGCCGGGTTTAAATTTTATCCAATTTTTTGTATCTCAAAGAACTTTTAATAAACCACTGTATTTTAGACTAGTATGCGATAAAATATGTGTATTAATCACACGATTGTTATACTTACACGAATTAATGAGTTCTGCATTTTTTTTTATTTAAAAGTTTGCACAGTTTTGTATATAAAATTAGTTCTGTTGAAATTTTAGTCAAAAAAAAATTAATTAAATGTAAGCTTGTTTAAGGGTAAAGGGTATGTAGATCATTTTGTCATATAATTTTAGTGGTACAATAAGATTTATATAGAAATTGATAATGTACTACTAATAAAACTTTTTATAGTTGTAAGTTGTAAATTTTAGTCAAAATTTTATAAAATATAAATAAAATAATTTATCTATTATAGTAAAAATTTTTTTTTTTAAAACTTTAATAGCCTTGTTAAAACTCTATTACAGACTTTATTATAATAATCAGAAAAGATAAACTTTCTAAAGATTGGACCATTATATAACTAAGATTGTAAGTTTAATATCACCTAGCTGTGTAATATATGCCTAGCTGTGATCTGTCATACCAATATCAAAGCAAATTGGGAAATTTTGTTAGCATGTTTCAAGTTTAAACTCTTTAAATTTCTTTTTTTATCAAGAACAAAAAAGAAAAAGGTTTTGTATTAAATATACAACTCAAATATTATAAAGAAAATAAAGTATATATATATAAAAAAAAATAATAATAATATAAAAAAGGAAAATTATAAAAAAATAATAATGAAGAATCAATAAACATAAAAAAAAAAAAAAAAAACAAAAAGCCAAGCTTAAAACAGATTAACAAACTAAAAAGGTGTTACTTTATGCAAGTAGCAAAAAAAAAATAAAATAAAAAACAACAAAGACAAATTATACTCTTATAATCTGTATTAGGCTTGTAAAAATTTTATAGCAAATACAACATTTCTATATCTCTAAATACAAAGTTAAAAAGAGTATAGCAACTTAGTAAAGTGGTAAAGTTGTTGTATTTCTAGATAGCAGGTCTAAAGTTTGAATTTCATAAACAATATTTTCAAAAAATAAGCTTGTGATATAGTGCTGGTTATAGTCAATTAGTTAGGTTTTAGAACCTGTAATCTTGGTAACACCATGTTTATATAGGAGCTTCGATATATAAAAGGCTAAGAAATTGTAATGATCAAAACCCATTTGGGAAATCACAAGTTGGGAGTAGCAGTAACCTTTGATAGTGCTACAGGAAAACCAAATTTGAAACTAGAGATTGAGATTGAAGAACCAAGTATAGTTGCACCCCTCTAAGTGCACACCTCTTAGAACCATAGTGAAAAAAATGCAAAATGTGCACTTAGAAGAGGTATGTATTTAGGAAGATTAAATTTTATAATTGTTATATGAGTTGGGACCAAGCAGGAGCATGTGTTTTTCATATACCGTGCACTTAGGGAATATGTATTTAGGGGGGTCTGACTATAACCAGGTTCTTAAGTGGGGAGATACACTAGTTGAACTACTAGCTCACTACTGGAAAAAAAGAACTTGTACTCTAGAAGTATGTACCAAGAGAAGGGAAACTATAAGGCACTTAGAGCCTAGGCAGACCAACCATTCTAGGTTGCTAGCTAGAAGTAAAAGAAAAACCAGTAAGAAATCTGAGAAAGAAGAAAGTTGAAATATAAGTATCAGGGTTGTTGTGAATCCTGCAAAGGCAGGAAGTATATAATAAAAACTAATTAGAAAGGTTGTGGCTTGAGATATGGATTGGGTTACATCAATATTCAAAAAATAGCTTGAGACATGAACTTGGTGATGGCAGTACAACATGTACTAATTAGTAGAAAGTTACCAAACATGCAGGTGAATATATGTATAAGAGATGTACTATTTTGTTAGGTTTATTATAAAGATAAATGCTCTTCTAAAAAACTAGACTAACCAAAGGCTAAAGTCTTAAGATTTTAATAGCAAATTATTCTGAAATAATATATTAAAAGGAACATAGTACAAGGGTTAAAGCCAGAGAGTTTAAATAGATAGCTTTCTAATTAGGCTATAAGTATAGCAACTAGTATAAAACCTTAGAATAGACTATTTAAATTAAACAACCAAAAGTTGTACATGTAGCTAGTTGTACTCTCATAATATCTTTGTAATATGTTATTAGTCTACTTGACTAATGAACCTATTAGTACTAATAAAGTGCCAAGAGCCTAAGTGGTTATTTTAATATTAAAAAAAAAACAAAGTTAAAACTAATTTCTAACTTTACAGGACAACTCTTCCCGACGATCTCTTGTACCAAAATCACAACAAACTTTTTTTTCAAAAAAAACAGTAAACTATGGTAGAAAAGAAGGAAAT